CCAGGCATGCTTACTGTTTACACGTTTATTTTTAAACAGCTGCTCAAGTACACGCAAATGTGCCAACAAGCGTTGAAAGTTCAAAACTTCTATACGTTGATATTGTTCTGTTACGCTTTTCTTATAATTCCAAGTTAGCAAAACCTACTGTAGTTTTTTATCCATCATTTTCATTACTCTATAAATCTTGTTAAATTTAAGCAGCTTATCTTTAAATCGATTTCTATACATTTAATCCAAGACAATTTCAAAATACAAACGGAGGGCAACTAAAGATGTAAAGATGAAATATTTCAACACTAAACTAAGAGGTAAGTTATCAATTATCATCACAGATTTGTTAAAAGTTGGTAAGAACAGTCTTAAGCCAGTTAAGTAAATAAATAAAAAAAAAACAGTATAATTTGCATACTTTTAAGTGAATGTAAAATTAAAATGCTTCTCACTTCCTATGGGCCTGAGATGTGGGAAAGCCTGAGATGTGGGAAAGCCTGAGATGTTGGAAAGCCTGAGATGTGGAATAGCTTGAGATGTGGAATTGCCTGGGACTAAATGTGTTAATAAGGTGAAACTTGGCAGTTTTTTGTTACATTTGTATAAAAACTTCCACGAAATGTTTTTTAATCAGTATACTAGACACTAAATAGAACAGATATATTCTTCAGGTGACTTTGCGGATAAGCATGGTATCGATGACGGATCTTTCGTTGTTCAAATGGAGACGGGGTTGAGGTATTTATTCAGTTTGTTTTAAGTGAGTACACTGCCATTGATCTGTTATTGTTTTCTTCTATTTATAAACAACTATGTGTTGCTTATCTTGCATTTATATTTCATCCTGATTGTAAATACATTTTTTCTGAAGCACCATAATTCTTTTATCAAGCATGTCCATTGTGGCGGTGACAACATGTTCTATTCAGACATGTTGACAGTTGCCCGAGTTTCCCGGCGGACATCAAAATAAGCTAAGCTGCATTTTGGAGCAGGAAATATGACATTTTTAAAAATCATATTATCTGGCATCTTCAAGTGATGTAATTTCCTGTTTACATCAAATTTTAGCAATTGTTCTGTTGATGTTTTGGTCACTACGTGCCTTAAAATGGGAAACTGGATACATTTAATAAAAAATCACTTTAATATTCTTGTGTTCTAATGGTATATACACTTTTCATTTTATAGTTTGTTGGACGCACGTGCAGTTCACTTCATTTTTTCTTCTCTTTAGACATCAGAAAGTGCAATTATTGAAAAATTATACATAATTTAATATAGTTATTTGTATGAGTGTTAAAATATTCGTTAGTCGAGAAAAAGAAAATGATACAGTCGTATGTTCAGAAGAGAAAATTTATGAAAAATGAAATTAGAATGACTAACTAAACTAGCATAAAACACGGGTGTCGGAGTTATCCCGCTTTGTATTTTATGCTGTAAGAGGCTATACATGTATAAACGATGAATGGTAAAACAAAAAATCGTCCATGTAAACGAAGGTAGGTAGAAGAAAAAGTAGGTAATATTATCATACGTAGATAAAGATCTATATCTGAGGATATTTTATCCAAACCTGGAGAAATATCACTTTGTGATACGATAGCTATAAATCTAATAATCGTATAAACTGCTCATTTCACGTCAGGGAAAGAGGTTGAAATTAATTCAATAAAGTTTATATAGAACAAAACAAACCACAACCAACAAAAACCGAAAAAAGAAAAAAAGAAAAAAATCCGGAATGTTTTTTATTTTTCAAATAGGTGTAAAGTACTATGTAATAAAGAAAGTAGCTATTTAAAACAATTCCGGACACTAAACATTAAGGAAAGACAAACGACATAAAGACGTATGACAATCTCTTGTCACATTACTGCCACTGTAGAACAGATAAAGATAGCATTCGTCTCTCAGAACAATTTTTCTTTCTTTTTTCTTTCTTTATCAAATAAATAACTTGTTCATAAAGCAAGTATATGCAAGATCATACTTTCTTGAAAGGATGCTATATATTGTAGATAATACACTCTGATGAACTAATGAAGAAAACGATTTGAGTATCTTTTCTTGATATTTCATAAATATATTTCTGTCCAAGGTAATAGTTTCTTTTAACACCATACTCAAACCACAGTGCCAGACACTCGGCCTGAATAGCCCGGACGATTCTATAACATGTCTCTGTGTTATGATCAGACAGCCGTGCATGTAGGCGTGCTAGTCAGAAGGGAATTGTAGAAACGTCTGCCTTATATAAGACAAGGCATTATATGCGATTTATAAACGACAACATCCAGCTTTTATTATCATGGCAAGATAGCTGACGACAATAAACGTCAGGCAGCCTTCTACAACTATTTATAAACATATTAATAGCACCGGTTTACACATTGTGTACATCGTATAGAACAACAGAAAATCAACAGGTAAGTATGATTTTACCTGATTAAACTATTAGTTGCTTTTATTTATGTAAATGTACACTCATTTTACCTAATTATCTGATAATATGTATTTATTTATGTAAATGTACACTCATTTTACCTAATTATCTGATAATATGTATTTATTTATGTAAATGTACACTCATTTTACCTAATTATCTGATAATATGTATCTATTTATGTAAATGTACACTCATTTTACCTAATTATCTGATAATATGTATTTATTTATGTAAATGTACACTCATTTTACCTAATTATCCGATAATATGTATTTATTTATGTAAATGTACACTCATTTTACCTAATTATCTGATAAGATGTATTTATGTAAATGTACACTCATTTTACCTTCTCTTCTGATAATATGTATTTATTTATGTAAATGTACACTCATTTTACCTAATTATCTGATAATATGTATTTATTTATGTAAATGTACACTCATTTTACCTAATTATCTGATAATATGTATTTATTTATGTAAATGTACACTCATTTTACCTAATTATCTAATAATATGTATTTATTTATGTAAATGTACACTCATTTTACCTAATTATCTGATAATATGTATTTATTTATGTAAATGTACACTCATTTTACCTAATTATCTGATAATATGTATTTATTTATGTAAATGTACACTCATTTTACCTAATTATCTAATAATATGTATTTATTTATGTAAATGTACACTCATTTTACCTAATTATCCGATAATATGTATTTATTTATGTAAATGTACACTCATTTTACCTAATTATCTGATAAGATGTATTTATGTAAATGTACACTCATTAACCTTCTCTTCTGATAATCTGTATTTATTTATGTAAATGTACACTCATTTTACCTAATTATCTGATAATATGTATTTATTTATGTAAATGTACACTCATTTTACCTAATTATCTAATAATATGTATTTATTTATGTAAATGTACACTCATTTTACCTAATTATCTGATAATATGTATTTATTTATGTAAATGTACACTCATTTTACCTAATTATCTGATAATATGTATTTATTTATGTAAATGTACACTCATTTTACCTAATTATCTGATAAGATATATTTATGTAAATGTACACTCATTAACCTTCTCTTCTGATAATCTGTATTTATTTATGTAAATGTACACTCATTTTACCTAATTATCTGATAAGATATATTTATTTATGTAAATGTACACTCATTTTACCTAATTATCTGATAAGATGTATTTATTTATCCTAATTATCTGATAATATGTATTAATTTATGTAAATGTACACTCATTTTACCTAATTATCTGATAAGATATATTTATGTAAATGTACACTCATTAACCTTCTTATCTGATAATATGTATTTATTTATGTAAATGTACACTCATTTTACCTAATTATCTGATAAGATTATTTATGTATAAAATGTACACTCATTTTACCTAATTATCTGATAAGATGTATTTATTTATGTAAATGTACACTCATTTTACCTAATTATCTGATAAGATGTATTTATTTATGTAAATGTACACTCATTTTACCTAATTATCTGATAAGATATATTTATTTATGTAAATGTACCCTCATTTTACGTAATTATCTGATAAAATATATTTATTTATGTAAATGTACACTCATTTTACCTAATTATCCGATAATATGTATTTATCTATGTAAATGTACACTCATTTTACCTAATTATCTGATAAGATGTATTTTTGTATGTAAATGTACACTCATTTTACCTAATTATCTGATAAGTATGTATTTATGTAAATGTACACTCATTTTACCTAATTATCTGATAGTATGTATTTATGTAAATGTACACTCATTTTACCTAATTATCTAATAATATGTATTTATGTAAATGTACACTCATTTTACCTAATTATCTGATAATATTTATTTATGTAAATGTACACTCATTTTACCTAATTATCCGATAATATGTATTTATCTATGTAAATGTACACTCATTTTACCTAATTATCTAATAATATGTATTTATGTAAATGTACACGCATTTTACCTAATTATGTATTTATGTAAATGTACACTCATTTTACCTAATTATCTGATAAGATGTATTTATGTAAATATACACTCATTTTACCTAATTATCTGATAAGATGTATTTTTGTATGTAAATGTACACTCATTTTAACAAATTATTCGATAAGATGTTTTTTTTATGTAAATGTACACTCATTTTACCTAATTATCTGATAATATGTATTTATGTAAATGTACACTCATTTTACCTAATTATCTGATAAGATGTATTTTTGTATGTAAATGTACACTCATTTTAACAAATTATTCGATAAGATGTATTTATTTATGTAAATGTACACTCATTTTACCTAATTATCCGATAATATGTATTTATTTATGTAAATGTACACGCATTTTACCTAATTATCTGATGATATGTATTTATGCATCATCCGGACATGCTGTTATCTTAAGTCGCGTTATTTTAAAAACCTAACGGGACTTTCTACCATATTTTTGTTTTTGCATTTTTCTAGCGGAGAAGATTCACCCTACGAAGACATGGTCAACAGAATATATGCTGACCTCCGGATTCGTATTTCAGTTGTATTTCTGACAACCTGTGCTTCTCTCTACATTTTCCTGGGCTATTTGTACTCCAATGCTGACACTTCAACCGGAAATGACGTAGACAATTACAGCACAAAGGAAGTGGTTCATAATAACGTTTTTGCTATAGTTAACAAACAACAAAAATCGGAATTTACTACACAGGATGGTCAAATTGCGCAGTGTAGTCATATAACATATGGAGGAAATATTCGTGCCGGGCTCAATGACGTTAGTAGATTGCAATTTATTCCAAAAGGAGAATATAGGCCAGCACAAAATTCTAGACCGTGTGATCAAAATTTTATCGCTACAGATTTGGAATTAGATATACGTGAATACAGACATGGACTTAAATGTGTAAAGAACTTTGAAGAAGAACATAAGATTTCCAAAAATGCCTTTTGGGCTGGAACCACACATTTAATTCGTCACAAACATCATTCATACCTGACTCCAAATAGTATAGTGATAGAAGTTGGTGGAAACGTGGGCGTGGATGCCGCTGCTATCATACAAAAATACAAGCCAAGTGCTTACATATTGCTGGAACCTGTTCTTCCTTTGTTTAACAAATTGAAGAAAACATTTAATAAAACAAGAAATATGTATTTGTATAACTTTGGACTTGGGAAAAATCTCTCCTATTTCCATGTTTATATGGAGGGTCATGAAGGAGAGGCTACCTCACAGTTCACGGGGTCAAGGGCAGGAGATTGCCTTATCAAGGTCATCAATGCTACAGCATTCATGCTCAAACTAGGAGTCGGGTGTTTTGATGTGGATCTACTGACAATCAATTGTGAAGGATGTGAGTTCGACATCCTTGAATCTCTGATCTCTACAAGTCTGATAAAAAGTTTCAAGCACGTGCAGTTTGCCACTCATCCAACACTGGAACATCTGTATAGTCCTGTAACCAGATATTGTGAAATAATCCAGGTGTTGTCGAGAACGCATGTACCATCATATCGATATGGATTTACTTGGGAGTCTTGGACAAGGAGGGATTTACTTAACAAGGCTTAACCTAGTCCTTTCACTAAATTACATGTTTCATTACCAATGCAACGTGAAAGGGCCTAAAGTCTATTTGTTTCTACTGTGTCACAAGAACTTTTGTTTATTGAAACTTCTTTTCGTAGTTCTGCAAATTACAGTGTTGATGCTTGGAAGTCACAATATGCTATGAAGTGATCTTTTGTTTGTTTTTTGTTCGTTTGTTTTGTGTGTGATTTGTTTATGTTGTATCTGTTCAAGCAGCTACATGCTACAACCCCCCTCCCCCCCCCCCACCCACACCAAAAAAAAATTAATAAAATGAAATTTTTTTATACAAAGTCACTTCCGATCACGTTGAAAGACGGTGAGGGTAATTGATGTATTGTTCAGGATTAAGTAACAAGGAATACTTATGTAAAACATTTATATTATTTCAAATTCCAATTCTTTGAAGGTAAACAAGCAATATCTTATGAATCGACCAACGAGGCAGCTCAAAGGTTACCTTCAATTTTGTATATATTTTGCGGTCTTACGCATATTCTAAACGATACTTACGTCATTTGTTACTGAAATCTAAATCTTAAAATTAAAAAAAAAGCTGTATACGACCCCTGTCCTCGTGACGTTAATTGTGACGTAACAAAAGAAATATGGATAGTTAAGATTAATTTTGGTACACAGTGACATTGGCTCTAAATATATTTTCTCGTAATTTCGCTTTCATAATTGATAAATGCTTTTGGTTGAATTTGGTATTTCAGAACTGCTGTTTATTTGTGATGAAATCAACACAACACGGATCAGCATTGGTCTAACGGCTATAACAAAAGATGACAAAGAGACATGACATGGTTAATGGGCTATTTTTTCCTAGGATACGTACAACATACAAGATATATTTATCTTATATGTAATGTAGGACATGGACGTTTTATCGCTGCACAGTCATAAATAACATCTGAAGTAGAGATGTTAGTAGGGACTAGCTAGTACAACAATTCAAGCAATACTTTATATTTGTTCTTCTATTCAATTTTTATCATTTATTTATTACTATATTTGTCTAATATCGATATTTATTTATAACCATGGGTATGCGCATGCCTGCATAATGACGCTGTTATTTTAAGCAGGCATATATTAGCGTGTATTTATACCAGCTGTCTATCGAAACATTGACTTTATGAAAATGTACTGCTTAATGGTCGAAGCAAATGTTGCTCTATTTATAACTTCATCATAACCCTATCATTATTTTAAATGTACGTATTTTAAGGGAGAGGGAATGTGAAGACATTGCCTGTTGTCAAACTGTCTGTTAAACTTTTTTTTTTATTCAGTATCAAACTAATATACAGAAATTACACGAAGGCAGAATAGAGCATACCTAAACAGGTAAGATAACTAATCCACAGCTAAAAAACTACATCTCCCGTAAATCTGTTCTATCGAACTCCACAGTCGTCCTCGGTTAGTAACTACATGTAAATGTGACTTAACTGATTGGAAAAAAGAAATCGAAAAAAACCTGAGGAAACCGCGTCCAATCTTTTTCGTGTCAGCTTTTTCTTTTTCTATTTTTAAATTCATGGTAAATTTATAATGATTTTATAACCAAAATATTTTCAAGTTTATATGTATTGTTTTTTTCGAAAGCTATTTACCACAGATGAAATGTGTCTTTTCATGGCCCAACACAATGCTATATCTTTCCCAGCCATTGTTACGTATGGTTGAACTTTGTTTAGGACGCCGCCTCGTTTTGAATCATGTGATTGTCTAATCCCGCACGCTCCTCCACGATGAAGATTAGTACAAGCAGATTTTTTTACTTTCTATTTTGAAATTTCAGGCCAAATAATACAGTAAAGTCTAAAGAAGCATTGTAATACGTCACTCTACTTTTAAATGATACCAAAAGTTTATACTTGGCTTACAGTAATAAAATGTTTATTATACAGAAAACACACACGCCGATGGTATTCCCCTAATGTACACAGTGTATAAAACGGGTCACAACAATGTGTATAGGCTAGTAGATGTAATTACGACAGTGCTAATGACGAAATTTGTCAAAGTTTTGACACATTCCTACTCGCTGTCACCAGGAAGTAATGGAGACCTTGGATGGAAAATTAATGAAACAATCAGACTATGTCAACACATTAGCATAACACGAAAACATAATATAAAATACTGAGAGAAATAGTGGATAAAGAGTAGAGACTGAAAAATAGATTTCCATAGTTACAGAAAAGCCCTTAAGATAACGCGAGTAACTACATATAGACTACAAGGAAAAATAAATGTTATCACGACTTGTTATCATCAAGAGAGAATGGCCAGGTCCATAATTCGATTACATTTTGTTTCCTTTACTGCAATATGTATATTTGAGTCCTGTTCTATCAATAATAGATTTGCTATCATAAGCTGACAGAATGTCAGCATAATTTGGACTATCTGCGTATATATTTGAAGTGCTATTTATTTTTGAATACCTGCTCTATTGATGACATAAATTTATAACAACTACACTCATAAGATAACTTTGTGAGCTACACTATTATGATTAGATACACAAGTCAATATTGAATAATCATGAGGTCTTATGAATAATTATGAGGTTTAATGAATAATCACGAGGCTTAATGAATAATTATGAGGTTTAATGAATAATCATGAGGTATAATCAATAATTATGAGGTTTAATGAATAATTATGAGATTCATTATGAGGTTCAATGAATAATTGTGAGGTTTAACTATTTCGGAACAAAACGCCTTGCTTCCCAGGAACACATTACAAGGAATCTAAATAAATGGTTTTAAATATACACGTATAAGACATATATAGATTTATAAGTTTCATTGTGTACGTATTTGAATACTTCCTCAACAAACACATTAATATAACTTACATATATTTGATCTTCGATGATTTGTAATGGGGGTTCCCCCGAGGGACATTGATAATTGGAATTAACGTTAACGGTGATGAGTGATTGATATGATGTGTAGTTATGCATACATTAGAACAATGCTTTCGAGTTCAAGTTTCAATTGCTATATCTTGTTTTGATTTATAATATTAGCCTAGACTTTGGTGCATTTATTTCCAAAGCCGAGAACTTCATTTCACAACTTACATATTTTCTAAACCAGCATTAACATTATACTCATTACTAGATAGATCATATGTAGTTTGGATGAACTTTTAAACCAGTGAATAAAAAGCACGCATCTTCTACGTTTTATAGATCGACTGCCTGGTATTCGATCTCGGGCGCAACTATATGAAATGAACTTACATTGTACGAATAAAACAAAACGTATGGGGAAAATATAAAGGTGACAATACATGTAAATCCTATTGTAGAAAAATAAAAACAAAAGATCATAGGTCAGGTAGATTTTCATTTTGACTGAAAACGATGTGCGAAGGGTTACCTATTTTGACGGATGAGTATACGGAAGGGTCCTCGAGATACCTGGATAATTTATATGTAACCGGGCAACATAGAGTGTGAGAATCGTAATATTGTTTGGACCACAAAAAGAACAACCTATAATTGCGTGAAAAATGCGATATTTGATATATAGGCTTATGTAAACAAATTGCTTAGGAATACAACATATAATTGTATAAATTAGTATTATTTGATAAGATTAGAGCGAAAGTAGAGAACGATAAAGATTTTGAAATGGCAATGTATTTTGATAAAATTTTGAATACGGAACTATAATTGGACGCATACTACTTTCTGTCGATACAAGTTTTCATTCCAAGTGTTACGTTCTACGAACTTTGATGAACTTACTTCAAATTAATTGCTTCGGAAAACGATTACAGAAGAATTTTTTAAAATCTGGATTTGCATTAAAAGGATCAATGAGAAGCCACTGTGAGAACATGTAAGACTATCTACAACTTAGATTTTGAAATGAAAGTGAAAAGTTCATTTGGGGTTTAATCTTTTCAAGAATCGGCGACGATTTACAGCATCGGGGAAGAAAACGATCGTTTTGATAGTGTTTATGTAATTTGAAATGTTCAAACATGAAACATCAAAAATCATATTTAACGGCAAATGAAATCCGAATGACTAAAGACATTTTCAACACATGTATTTTGGTCGCGCATGACAGAATGCTACCCGATCCTGTATATCGTCTTACCGATTCAAATGTGTTTATGTTGACGCATGCGCACCGGTAACATTACTGGGCACGGGGCCCGACATTATATATGTAACATGCTAAAAGAAGCTTGTACAGACACATGTGTTCTTTATAAACGTAAGCTGAGGTAAAATAACGTTCTATAACTTAATCATTTCATGTGTACTCGCAAACAATACAAAAAAGTAGGTTACTGAATGTTTTACAGCACTTTGTTTGAAACGAACGTTGGGATGTCAGCTATACTGGATTGCGGCCCTTGGATTGAACCGGAAGTAGATGTCCTATATGTAAAAAAAGACTACCTGTTATGGTTATCGCAGTTAAGCTTACTCTGGATTCAAACAAACAAATATTAATGTTACTTTAAAACAAAAAAAGTAGAAATCAGACGCGAAGGGATCGTGCTTACAGTTTTTAATGTACAGCTTCACTCTGATCTAACGTAGTTAATTCCCTTCGTTCTACTTTATACAGTCATAAGCCTGACAGTTGTCAATGGACTAAAGATGATATAATGAACAAGTGAGAAAACAATCAAAACATATATCAATTTAGATCTCTTATTTCAATCTCAAACTCAACAGTTGCTACCTGGTGGCCACTGATTTTACAGCTGGTTTCATTCTTCTTGAAGCCAGCAGGGGTCATATATGTTTGTCCATTGTATTATGCCATTTATGGATTTCCCCAGGTTAATGCATCTTCCATCCGCTTTTTAGGCTAAACGTACTCAGTACGCATAGCCTATTGCGATGGCCTTTCAGACAAAATTTACCGATCCTGGCCTTCTCATTGGCTGAAATATCGAAAAGAGTTAGAGCCCATTAGCGGCAGTTTTCTGCGTAAATAATACCGCGATTTTTCAAATCGCTATTTTAAAAGCATCCAAAATCAGTTTATTTTTTTAATAACAATACGATTACTATATATTTCAAAAAAGAAACACAGTGTGGTTGAACTATTGATAAATTTTGAACAATATATTTTATGGAATTCTCGACATGACGTAAGCGTACAGAACACTGTACGTGCGAGTTGGCGCCATGATAAGAAGCTAGTCTGGGGGCTTGGTTTGAATTATCAGCTAACAGCACTTATAAACAAACAAAACTTACAAACAGAACATCAATTTTGCTTTAACCCTTGTGGCAAGATCGTCTTAATATATAACATCACTTTACCTCATTAGACGTCACAAAATTGGACTGTTCGTCCTACGCGCACACCCGCCGATATGACACTTTTTCAGGATTTTCACACCCACCGCCATGACACTTTTTCAAGTTTTTGAAGATATAAAGTTTGCGCTTCGTAGGCAAGGTACATTTGGTGCTCATGGTTCATGAATGATATATTTCAATACTGTACTGATCATGATGTTGACTTTTTTATAACTTAATTTTTTTACCTTTTAGTTTTATTTGATGAAGGTTGATTGTGCTGATTTCTCAAGGTTTGTTAATGTGTATCAAAGTTCCTTGAATTGAAAATATTCCTTCAAACAATGGGCGTATAAAAACCCCAAAATATTCATGTTTATAATTATCAATTAACTAGAACGAAATATTTCCATAACATATTTATTCATTTAGCGTGTCATGGTGACATTATCTAATGCATTGGAGATCAGAAATAGTATTAGCTATAGTGAACATATTGTAAATTTTGTATATATATGGAAGTCTGGTTTAATCTCATAGAACTGTGCTTTATTTTATAGACATAATTACTGGAAGAAAAATCTAACCATGATACTTCAAGGAAGATAGGCATGTAAATCATTTAATGTAATTACTTACACTTTTATCTATCTGAAATGCTGTGTACACCTTATCTACTTTCCTCAACTACAAATATAATTATAATAAGTAAGGACTATTACTTTGCAATACATTCAAAATAAAGAAGTAGGTATAAACTTTCGATTTGTCTAAATCCTCATATTGATAGGATAGTAATTGCAACATCTTGGGTATTTCAAAGTTTTATTTAGTCAACTTCATCATAGAGCTATTTATCATTTGGCTTGTTGGCGATAAATATATGGTTGTGTGTATTTTGTTATTTTTTTTTTACCTATTTTGATTTATTCACATTATTGTCGTCAAATTTGAAATAAGAATTAAAGAAGATATAAAATCGCTTAAAATTAAGAAATATAGCCTCTGGTTCTCTTATTTTAGTAATTTTTGCATTCCAAAGTGTAGGAGTATGGTGAAAGTAATATAGCTTAGCGGCTATTTGTGAACATTTTTCAATATGTTTAGCCTCTCAGTACTTTCAGTACTTTGATTAATATTTATTTCCGCGTATTTTTTCTTCATTGCTTTATCAGCCTCAATAATATAGGTCCTCAGCGACGAGTCCTAGAAGGCAGAAATAGCTGTATCATGCAGCTTAATTCCATATTTGGGTATATTGTATCTTGTTCAGGATTTGTAATGAAAGCTGCTGTTCCTTTATATTTCGGCTGTATAATGATACATTCTGTACGACGAGGAAATGGTTTTACTTCTGTCTGGATCCCTAAATAATGTCTATCGTCATTATGGCAATGAAATCGAACAGGACCTGGTCTGTCAATGTAGTTGTAGAACATTACGAATGATATTGTCACAAACTGTGTATTGTCATTTAATGAAGCTTACCGTAATATCTTCCTCTGTTGACCTACTGCATGTATGTATGGTATGTTACCGTTATTATTTATAGTACATGTGATATGTACTGTGTATCACTACATGTATTATGTACAGTGTATCATTACATGCATTGTGTACAGTGTATCATTGCAAACATGTGTTATGTACAATGTATCATTACATACATGTATTATGTACATTGTATCATTACATGTATTATGTACAGTGTATCATAACATGTATTATGTACAGTGTATCATTACATACATGTATTATGTACAGTGTACCATTACATGTATTATGTACAATGTATCATTACCTGTATCATGTACAGTGTATCGTTACATTGTATCGTTACATGGCAGAATATCATGTCCATTGTGTCTTGAATTAAGATATTAAGGACAACGGCTTTTATCTTATTAACAATATAATACTGGTTCACAGGGGTTGGTAACTTTAAGTATCGTACATTTGTGTAATAGAAATAATGCAGACAGAAGGCATACAAGTATCTAAGTGGAGAATCCGATAAAAATGGACAAACCTAAATGACTGCCCTAGAGATAGGGCGTTAAACCTGTACCTACTGTCCCCTTTGCATAATCATAAGAGTTTATTAAAGTTTGGATAGGAATTCTCTTCTTTCTAAAATATTTCCTCTGATATAAACACTGTCTCACAGTTGACAGAATGTTAAACGATATAAAACCAAATCTAATCTAGCCAAGCGCACTTGACATGTTTACTACATAGCTGGAGGTTACCCAAAATTCATTTGTCATATGTTATACAATGGTTGACAAAACATTACAATTTTAAAAATTAGTCTGCTTTACAACAATATTACATGTACGAAGAAAAAAAATCTTTTAAGTTCAGAGGGTAAACGACCAAAAAATAGTTTGTGTATAATCTTGAATATGTTTATTATAACGAATATCACAAATATGGATGTTAGGATAAAACACAAGTTTATTATAACGAATATCACAAATATGGATGTTAGGATAAAACACAAGTGCTTTTTTATCTTTGAGTCTGATGATGTGTTCAGCATTGAAGTGACAGAAACACAATGGATAACATAGGCATTATACACCTGCCTCAGATATAACACAGGACACAATATCAGTCCCACCTGAATTAACGAATAAAGTTATACCAACTCATATTGATTGTCTGCTTTGATAAATAGATATTAGGCAACGACCTTTAGAAATTTAAGTTAAGCTCCTAAAGTAGTATACACGCACATTTCACACAACTTTTATATAATTGCATACAATATTTTCAAGAAGTGTGACGCTGTTTCATTTTCAGCCCATAAGATGTACATTTAATAGGAAAAGAAAGGATAATACAAAAATGATATTATTCCGTCAATTTCACGTTGTCCTTATGATCGGTATCAGCATAATGTTTGATTCACACACGTGATTTTTTAGATATCGGCATTATGATCATTATCAGCAGATGTTTTTGATTCACACACGTGTCTTTCTTACAAATCGTCCTAATGATCAGTATCAGCATAAAGTTTGGATCAAACAAGTGCAGCCATATGTACTAACTGTGAATTTTACATAGATAACAATATAAACATACAGGTATATCGGTTTGATACCGGGTTGTTAATTCTTTGACTAACATTTTTTGCTGTTATTTATATCAAACATTCCACCTCAAAGAAGAAATGGTCCCATTCACAACAAATGCAGTCCGTTACAACCTTTTTTTAACAATGACTTTGTATTCGCCTACGTTATACCCAATAATGCCACATAAATCTGTTTTATAATCGGGAATGACACCTGGCGGTAGCATGATATCAAACTGATGGAGAAGGATTGCGCAGATTAAATGAAGTTCTGGTTTGGCGATGCTTTCTCCAAGACAAACCCTCCTTCCGGCAGAAAATGGAAGCCAACTAACAGGTTTAGGTCCCAGATTCCCATCTGAATCCAAAAATCTTTTCGGGTCAAATGTCTTGGGATCTTTCCAGTGTCGAGGGTCATTGTGCAAAGCCCAGTGATTTATCATGACTGTGGTCCCCTTAGGTATGTCATATCCACCTACATAACAATAGAACTCCAACATGTTAAAAAAAACAATAGAAAGTCATAATGGAAAAATAAAGGCACATATAAAGTTAATTGATCATTAGAAAACTAAGAATGATGAAGAATTTTAAGACCACGTGTTTCAGGAGATTAAGCGAACATTGGTGTATTGATAGAATTTATTAAATAATGCTAGCTAAAAGCAGTGCACATTGAAAGAATAGTGAAACATAGTTTCCATCAATAAACTAACCTCCGTCGACATCTATCAGGAAAATGGTGTATTTGAAACAGAACATCGGTTATCAAATTAAACGCGACATGTTAATACAAAGTATCATAAGGAGAAAACCAATGACGTGAAGAAACCTGACTGCTACGTGTCAATTACAGATGTGACGTTTTACACAAAGAAAAGTGATAAGAGGTACCAGTTTCTCCAATGGTAAGGTAAGGTAAGGACAGTGGTAGGAGTTTTTAAAGTTTCTCCAACAGTAAGGTAAAGACGGACTGTGGTAGGAGTTTTTAGAGTTTCTCCAACAGTAAGGTTAGGTAAGGACAGTGGTAGGAGTTTGTAGAGTTTCTCCAACAGTAAGGTAAGGACAGTGGTAGGAGTTTTTAGAATTTCTCCAACAGTAAGGTAAGGACAGTGGTAGGAGAGTTCAGAGTTGCTCCAACAGTAAGGTAAGGACAGTGGTAGGAGAATTTAGAGTTTCTCCAACAGTAAGGTTAGGTAAGGACAGTGGTAGAGTGTTTAGAGTTTCTCCAACAGTAAGGTAAGGTAAGGACAGTGGTAGAGTGTTTAGAGTTTCTCCAACAGTAAGGTAAGGTAAGGACAGTGGTAGAGTGTTTAGAGTTTCTCCAACAGTAAGGTAAGGTAAGGACAGTGGTAGGAGTTTTTAGAGTTTCTCCAACAGTAAGGTAAGGACAGTGGTAGGAGTTTTTAGAGTTTCTCCAACAGTAAGGTAAGGACAGTGGTAGGAGTTTTTTCTCCAATTTAGAGTTTCTCCAACAGTAAGGTAAGGACAGTGGTAGGAGTTTTTAGAGTTTCTCCAACAGTAAGGTAAGGACAGTGGTAGGAGTTTTTAGAGTTTCTCCAACAGTAAGGTAAGGACAGTGGTAGGAGTTTTTAGAGTTTCTCCAACAGTAAGGTAAGGACAGTGGTAGGAGTTTTTAGAGTTTCTCCAACAGTAAGGTTAGGTACTCCAACAGTGGTAGGAGGACAGTGGTAGGAGTTTTTAGAGTTTCTCCAACAGTAAGGTTAGGTAAGGACAGTGGTAGGAGTTTGTAGAGTTTCTCCAACAGTAAGGTTAGGTAAGGACAGTGGTAGAGTGTTTAGAGTTTCTCCAACAGTAAGGTAAGGTAAGGAAAGTGGTAGAAATTTTTAGAGTTTCTTCAACAGTAAGGTATTGTAAGGACAGTGGTAGGAGTTTTTAGAGTTTCTCCAACAGTAAGGTAAGGTAAGGACAGTGGTAGGAGTTTTTAGAGTTTCTCCAACAGTAAGGTAAGGTAAGGACAGTGGTAGGAGTTTTTAGAGTTTCTCTAACAGTAAGGTAAGGTAAGGACAGTGGTAGGAATTTTTAGAGTTTCTCTAACAGTAAGGTAAGGTAAGGACAGTGGTAGGAATTTTTAGAGTTTCTTCAACAGTAAGGTATTGTAAGGACAGTGGTAGGAGTTTTTAGAGTTTCTCCAACAGTAAGGTAAGGTAAGGACAGTGGTAGGAGTTTTTAGAGTTTCTCCAACAGTAAGGTAAGGACAGTGGTAGGAGTTTTTAGAGTTTCTCCAACAGTAAGGTTAGGTAAGGACAGTGGTAGAGTGTTTAGAGTTTCTCCAACAGTAAGGTTAGGTAAGGACAGTGGTAGGAGTTTTTAGAGTTTCTCCAACAGTAAGGTTAGGTAAGGACAGTGGTAGGAGTGTTTAGAGTTTCTCCAACAGTAAGGTAAGGACAGTGGTAGGTAAGGACGGTAGGAGTTTTTAGAGTTTCTCCAACAGTAAGGTAAGGACAGTGGTAGGAGTTTTTAGAGTTTCTCCAACAGTATGGTTAGGTAAGGACAGTGGTAGGAGATTTTAGAGTTTCTCCAACAGTAAGGTAATGTAAGGAGAATGGTAGGAGTTTGTAGAGTTTCTCCAACAGTAAGGTAAGGTAAGGACAGTGGTAGGAGTTTTTAGAGTTTCTCCAACAGTAAGGTAAGGTAAGGACAGTGGTAGGAGTTTTTAGAGTTTCTCCAACAGTAAGGTATTGTAAGGACAGTGGTAGGAGTTTTTAGAGTTTCTCCAACAGTAAGGTAAGGTAAGGACAGTGGTAGGAGTTTTTAGAGTTTCTCCAACAGTAAGGTAAAGACGGACTGTGGTAGGAGATTTTAGAGTTTCTCTAACAGTAAGGTAATGTAAGGACAGTGGTAGGAGTTTTTTGAGTTTCTCCAACAGTAAGGTAAGGTAAGGACAATGGTAGGAGTTTGTAGAATTTCTCCAACAGTAAGGTAAGGTAAGGACAGTGGTAGGAGTTTTTAGAGTTTCTCCAACAGTAAGGTAAGGTAGGAGTTTTTAGACAGTGGTAGGAGGACAGTGGTTTGTAGAGTTTCTCCAACAGTAAGGTAAGGTAAGGACAGTGGTAGGAGTTTTTAGAGTTTCTCCAACAGTAAGGTAAGGTAAGGACAGTGGTAGGAATTTTAAGAGTTTCTCCAACAGTAAGGTAAGGTAAGGACAGTGGTAGGAGTTTTTAGAGTTTCTCCAACAGTAAGGTAAGGTAAGGACAGTGGTAGGAGTTTTTAGAGTTTCTCCAACAGTAAGGTAAGGTAAGGACAGTGGTAGGAATTTTTAGAGTTTCTCCAACAGTAAGGTAAGGTAAGGACAGTGGTAGGAGTTTTTAGAGTTTCTTCAACAGTAAGGTATTGTAAGGACAGTGGTAGGAGTTTTTAGAGTTTCTCCAACAGTAAGGTAAGGTAAGGACAGTGGTAGGAGTTTTTAGAGTTTCTCCAACAGTAAGGTAAGGACAGTGGTAGGAGATTTTAGAAGTTTCTAACAGTAAGGTAAGGTAAGGACAGTGGTAGGAGTTTTTAGAATTTCTCCAACAGTAAGGTAAGGACAATGGTAGGAGAGTTCAGAGTTGCTCCAACAGTAAGGTAAGGACAGTGGTAGGAGATTTTAGAAGTTTCTAACAGTAAGGTAAGGTAAGGACAATGGTAGGAGTTTTTAGAGTTTCTCCAACAGTAAGGTAAGGACAGTGGTAGGAGTTTTTAGAGTTTCTCCAACAGTAAGGTAAGGTAAGGACAGTGGTAGGAGTTTTTAGAGTTTCTCCAACAGTAAGGTAAGGACAGTGGTAGGAGTTTTTAGAGTTTCTCCAACAGTATGGTTAGGTAAGGACAGTGGTAGGAGTTTTTAGAGTTTCTCTAACAGTAAGGTAAGGTAAGGACAGTGGTAGGAGTTTTTAGAGTTTCTCTAACAGTAAGGTAAGGTAAGGACAGTGGTAGGAGGAGTGGTTTAGAGTTTAGTTTCTCCAACAGTAAGGTAAGGACAGTGGTAGGAGAATTTAGAGTTTCTCCAACAGTAAGGTAAGGACAGTGGTAGGAGAATTTAGAGTTTCTCCAACAGTAAGGGAAGGACAGTGGTAGGAGTTTTTAGAGTTTCTCCAACAGTAAGGTAAGGTAAGGACAGTGGTAGGAGTTTTTAGAGTTTCTCCAACAGTAAGGTAAGGACAGTGGTAGGAGTTTTTAGAGTTTCTCCAACAGTAAGGTTAGGTAAGGACAGTGGTAGGAGTTTTTAGAGTTTCTCCAACAGTAAGGTTAGGTAAGGACAGTGGTAGGAGTTTTTAGAGTTTCTCCAACAGTAAGGTAAGGACAGTGGTAGGAGTTTTTAGAGTTTCTCCAACAGTAAGGTAAGGAAGGACAGTGGTAGGAGATTTTAGTGTTTCTCCAACAGTAAGGTAAGGACAGTGGTAGGAGTGTTTAGAGTTTCTCCAACAGTAAGGTAAGGACAGTGGTAGGAGTTTTTTGAATTTCTCCAACAGTAAGGTAAGGACAGTGGTAGGAGATTTTAGAGTTTCTCCAACAGTAAGGTAAGGACAGTGGTAGGAGTTTTTAGAATTTCTCCAACAGTATGGTTAGGTAAGGACAGTGGTAGGAGTTTTTAGAGTTTCTCTAACAGTAAGGTAAGGACAGTGGTAGGAGTTTTTAGAATTTCTCCAACAGTAAGGTAAGGACAGTGGTAGGAGTTTTTAGAGTTTCTCCAACAGTAAGGTAAGGATAGTATGAGAATTCTTATGATTCATTGGCGAGATAAAATGAGATGGCCATTTCAGTTTTACATATATAATGTATATTTAAGTGTCGGTACTCCAAGGCTGGTCATGTGTGGCACTTTGTAAGAAAAAAAGCACTTTAGATTACGAGTTTATAAAACTATTCATTCTTATCCGATATATCTAGAAATTATGTAAACTCTATCCCACATCTATCTATATGTCATTTCTAAATCTTTATCTACCATGACAGAATCGTACATTTAAACAATAGAACAGCATAATGTGCGCAAAAAATGTGTGATAACTTATTTCGTCCACATTGTAAACTTTCAGTGTTAGGTTCGTCCATATATGGTGTTTTTAACGTGTAAATTCACTCCTATTTTGGTGTAAAATTAATGGAAACACCATTTCTGATGTAAAGTTAATCACAACAAAGAAAAATGAATAGTATACCGACATTTGGTGTTACTTAAATCCTAAATCGGTGTAAATGCGTTATCTTACACCGTAAGGGGATGACTTTACACCAGAATCTCGCCGAAAAGTGTTACTTTACACCGTTAGAGAGTGAGTGACTTTACACCAGAATCTCACCTAAAAGTGTTACTTTACACCGTAAGGGGTGACTTTACACCAGAATCTCACCTAAAAGTGTTACTTTACACCGTAAGGGGTGACTTTACACCAGAATCTCACCTAAAAGTGTCACCTTACACCGTAAGATGTGACTTTACACCAGAATCTCACCTAAAAGTGTTACTTTACACCG